CCGCCTCAAGAACTAGGACTGCCCACCATTACCTAGTTACTCCCACCTTTGTCGGGTTACTTGGTTATTCCCGCCTTAGAACTTCCGCGTTTCTCCGTGCGGTATATAAGCACGGCACTTCCCGCTAATAAACAAGACTTGATCAGAGCACTGTCTTGTCTCCATTCTTCGTGTCTCTTGTCCCTTTATAATCCCCACTCCCCCTCTAGGGCTGCCCTTGACTGTACCCACGGGTCGGGACACTCAGAAGTTACACTACTTACCCAGAGACGAATCTGTGACACTGTCGATGTCTGCTGCTGGACTTTACACCTTCTTTCTCTGGGCCTTCACTCTAAGTGAAGAGACCAGAACATCTCAGTGTGGGCACTGGGTGTGTAGTGGCCAAAATCAGCCAACATGTGCCCTGCCCAGTGGCTGGAGGGATGATAGAAAGAGAGAGGAAGGCTACCTCCCAGACCTCCCAGATAGGACCAGCTACTTTCCCATGTTGGGTCAGAGTTGGAGATAGATAACAACCTTTCCTTGAGCAGTTCCTACCGCCTACTCAGCCCCTGCTCTGTACCGCCCTCTTGACCTCTCCCAGAACATTAACAACCTGGGGTTCAGTGTCCAGTACCCTACCCCTCCTTCAGCCCTGTGCAGCACTCACCTAAGGAAGATGAGACATAGCCCAAGAAGCAGGATCTTCACAGCTCCCTCCAGGATGGCCAGCAGCACCACCTCTGCCATAGGCTCCCCTGCCAGAAAGTGAGGAAGCCTGGATTCCCCTATAACAGCAACATCCCAGTCATTTTTGTCACCTTTGCACTTGGATAGAGTCCTCCCGGTCAGTCTTCATTCCTCTCCCACCCCACACCTCAACTGTCCTGCAGTACACAGAGGAAATATATATTAACCTTGTCAAAAATTAAACTCTTTTTGTTCCCTCACAGCCTCGCCAGAGTTTTGTATTGTTGATTTCTTTCTAATAGCCATTCTTTCTGGAGTGAGACGGAATTTCAGCATTCTTGTAATTTGCATCTCTTGAATGATGAGGGATGTTGGACGTTTGCCATTTGTACTTCACGTGGGAAGTGTGTATTCATTTCAGAGGCCCATTTTTGGATTGATTCTCTAAATTTGGGGGGTATAGTAATGTTGAGTTCTTTATATATTCTAGATATTAGTTTTTGTGTCTGGGGAACAGCCTGCAAAAATTTTTCCCACTCTGTGGGTTGTCTTTCACTCTGTTGATGGTTTCTTTTGTTGTGCAAAAGCTTGTTAATAAGAAGAGATCCCAGTTGTTGAGTGTTTGGAGTATTTCTCATGAAATCAGGGATCTGTTCATAAAATCTTTGGCTACACCTATGTCTTCAAGAGTTCTACCTATTCTCACTTTCAGTAGAATTAGTGTTTCTGTTTTAATATTTAGTTTAGTTCAAAGTGAGAGACATGGGTCTAGTTTTAGCTTTCAACATGTGGAAAGCCAGTTTTTCCAGCACTGTTTATGAAAGAGGGTATCTTTCTTCCAGAGAAGAGCTTTGGCTCCTTTGTCAAGATAAGGTGGCTGAGAATGTTTGGAGTTGTGTCTGCAGTCTCCAACCCATTCCATTGGTCCTCAGTTGTGTTTTACTTTTGCCAGTACCACGTGGTGTTTCTCTACTGTTAGTGGGAGTGTAGACTGGTGCAACTACCGTGGAAATCAATGTGGAGATTTCTCAACAAATTAAAATGGGAATTTCCATTTGACCAGATATTTCTCTTTTTGGCATTTTCCAGAAAGAATTAAAGCATCATACCTCAGTGATATATGCACACCCACATTTATAGCAACACAGTTTGTAATAGCTAAACCTTGGAAACATGCCAAATGCCCACCAACTGATGAGTGGATAAAGATGTGGTTGTTTTATACAAGGGAGTACTACTAAACTATAAAGAAGGATAAACTTGAGACTTTTATAGGTAAATGGATGCACCTTGAGACCATTCTCTTAAGTGAAATAAATCGGACACACCAGGGTAAATATCAAATTGCTTCTCTGGTGTGAGAAACTGAAAGAGTAAATATTAACAAAATGTATACAAGGTACTGTAAAATAGGAAAGGGATCTAGGGAGGGGAAAAGGTGGAAAGGAATGAGGCAAAAAGAAAAAACAAGAAAAGATGGAAAGAGTGAAAACAAAGCTTTTGTAAATTAAGAGGGGAAGGGGAGTTGAAGAGAGGGGAGAGAAATGAGAAAAAACAAATCAAGATATATCATGTACGTGTATAAATTTCCTATGATGAATGTGATCATTATGTATATTTAAATTATACCCATACCCTTAGTTAATCAAGAAGGAAAGAAAAACTTTTCACATTAAGAAAAAAATTGAACTCTTTGTTCATCATTGGACAACATGAAGAATGGAAAAAAAGAAATCTATTGCTCTGGAGAGAACATTTGCATATTATAGACATGATTAAGCTCTACCATTCAGTTTAAAGAAAAACCTCTTGGATTGCAAATTCCAAAAAATATCCCAACTGACCCAGTTAATACAAGATCATAGGATTTGAAGAAAATGTGTCAGAAGAAGATATACAAATGTCCAAAACTACATGAAAACATTCTCACCATCCTTAATCACAGCCTTAGTGCAAATGAAAACTGCAATGACATAGCCACTCAAACCCACTAACAGGCTGTATTTTGTAAAAAGGAAAACAATAATGTTGAGAAAGTGTGGAGAGTTGGAGCTTTGCGCATGGCTAGTGGGAGTGTAAGGTTGTGCTGACACTGGGGGAAACATTCTACATTTGCACAAAAGTTAATCTCTGAATTACAACATCCAAAATTAATATGCAAGGTATAGTACCCAAGGATTCATCTCTGGATTACAGTATCTTAGTAACTCTACTCCTTGATACATGCCCATGGAAAGTGCAAACACATGCACAAGGGTCCATCGCGTAATACATAGGTGAGAAAATGTGCTCGGTCCATACAATGGGACGTTATTTACACTTGGAAAGGAATGAAGCACTCATACTGGCTGCACGGATGAATCTTGAAAACACTATGCTAGGTGAAGTGGCCAAATGTAAGAGGTGACAGTTTATGTGATTCTACCTCTAAGTGATCATCAGAAGAGAAGCATTGCTTTGGGCACAGGGTTTCTTTCTGGGGTTGGAAAGTTCTGGAACTACATAGTGGTGATGGTTGCTCCTCACTGTAAATGTACAAAGTCCGGGTCGTTGTGTGTTTTACATGGATGGTGTTGAATTTAATGTTAATGAATTTTATCTCGATAAAATATATGTTAATGAATTTTATCTCGATAAAATATATGGATGTAAAATTTAAAAGGATATAGAGATACCAAATTAAGCCAGCTAGTGGAAAAGATCAAAATTTCCAGCATGGAGCTTAGGGCAAGCTCAGTGGTCGCCCTCAGTGATCTGACCCAGGCTCAATCACAGAATCATAAACCAAAATCCAAACCAAACAGTAAGGTTCTTTGGTTGTTGAGTGTACACTCTCTTGGCTCTCACTGTTGGGAGTGTTAACTGTGCCCGAACCCCTTGGACACATATATCAGAGCAAGAAGAAACTAGTGACCCATCTTCATTTGCATTTAGCACCTCATCTCCTTGGCATGCACACACTGTGGAAATGGATAACAAAACTGTTCAACAAACTTTTCTATTGGTGCAATGAAATGAGTGCCCTGACCGTCCATTGGTAGGAGATGCCCACAACATTAGGGTCCTCATGCAGTGTGTGCCACAGTTAGGGAGCACCAGGACCATCTGTTCGACTGACACCCTGTGACATCTCAGACCTCAGGGTCCAGACATAGGATCAGTGCAGCATGTGTGGTCAGGGTCAGTCCTGGGGAGGGATTGAGCCTCTGAGGACAGACTATTGCGTGTTCTGACTATTTGCTTGTGTGGCTCTGTTTCCTTCCACAAGTGCTTAGATTAATGTTACAGGGGCATCTAGGTGATGGGGGCAAAGGACGTGGAAAGTCTGGTTGTGCTGTGTGAAGGTTTGCCTCTCTCTGTGTCTGAGGGAATATAACTGGGTAAGGACAAGTGCTTAATGTGGCCGTAGGTGCTCTGCAGGGGGAGGAGTCAATGGGGTTGTCACAGAGATCTCTGTTACTGGGATGAGTCCCAAAGGGGGAAGAAACCAGGCCTGCATAAGCTGAAGGGGCCCTTGCCCCCGCCCCAGGGAGGCTGCTCTCTACCTGGGCCAGCTCCTGTGGAGACACAAACTAGAAAGTTCCTCACATCATCAGGAAGAGGAAAGGTTTGTTTTGCTCTTAAGTTGGCATGAGGGATGAGATCAGCCAGCACCCCTCACTCCCGTCCCAGAAATCCCACTGAGGGACACACATGTGTCCTTGCAGATCCTGACCCAGTCAGGCTTCCAGCACAGAGCTACATGAGTTCCAAGGCCCTGTCTTCCTGGCCTTCACACACTCAGGGCCCGAGGCATCCGGTACAGCACATACCGGTGACATTGAGCTGCACGGTCCTCTCCACGGTCACACCAGCTGCAGGGAACATCACCTGACAGGTGAGGTTGGTGCCGTGGTCCTGGGGCCGAGGGCTCAGGGTGAGCACAGAGGAGTGGGTGGTCCTGGGGCCCAGGGAGGTGAGGGCAGCTGACGTCCAGGAGAAGATGGGGGGCGTCCCACGCTCACAGGCCCAAGGCACAGAGCAGGTCAGGTTCCTGGGGTGGCCGGGCACCAGGGTCCAGGGGATGAGGATGTCAGGAGTGTGAGTCATTGCTGGTAAGAAGAGGGACAGTGGGATCAGGAGGGTGGGCCCAGAATGCATCCCTGAGAGAAGCTCAGACCCTGACCCAGCTCCTCCTGAGGTCCTAATACTTGAACTCCAGCCCCGCCCAAGACAGGCATCCATCCCAGCCACCTCCAGAGGCCACCACAGCATGTGCCTGCTGCCCAGACCTTACCTGTCACTTCCACAGAGACCTGGTCTGCACAGTACTTCCACTTCAGACTTCCCAAGTCCACCCGAAAGAAGTAGGAACCCTTGTCACGCTTCTGTGCATCTCTGATGTGCAGGGAGCAGTTCTTGGTCTGTGGATCCAGAAGGAGGTGGAACCGGCCCCGAGTCCTCTCTTGCACTTGTCTTTGAGGGTCGTTTGTGGCCACTGGGTCGTCGTGATTTATATTGGCCCCTTCTCGAAACCAGTAGCCAGAGACAGAGACAGTGCTGGAGCTCAATGGAGAGTCAGGGAATCTGCAGGGCACAAGGACACACTGGCCCTCCTGTACGGTCACTGATTCTGGCACTTGCAGCCTGTATTTCAGACTCTTAAATGAGCACCCTGAGGGTAAATGAGGCCCCGCAATTTGCAGAGCCCCCTGCCCTTCTCCCGGCACCCACAGCAGCAGCAGGGGCAGCAGCATCTCAGAGCTGGAGGTCCTGGCTCCTGTGTGTGAGCAGAGAAGGGAGCGTGTGGAGGGGAAGTGCAGAAGCTGGGGTGGAGCAAGAGAGCTGGGTGGTTCACAGAAGAGGAACTCAGACCCACACCCATTGGAAGCTGCCCCTCCTCAGAGAATGGATGGAAAGCTGGGGGACCCACCCAGAGGGCAGGCAGGAGCAGAGGCTATGTTCTGACCCCATATCTCGGAAGCTTGTTTGAGTAACGGGTTTATTCCAGGACGCTGGGACACGTGAGGCACTGTCATGAGTGAGGGTTAGGCTGCCTAACTCCCGCCTACCCCACAGACTCACGACCTTGCTGTGTGCTGCGTTAGAGGGATCCCGCAGAGAGAAGGGTTCTGTCTGGTCTGTGTGTCTGCGAGAGAAGGATGCAGGTCCCAGGTGAAGTGCAGATAACAGCCAGTCTTTCTTTCACTCAGCAAACCTGAGGAGAGCTCTCTTCTTAAGTAGAGACAAGAAGATAAGAATGGCCTGGTCCTGAAGCTGAGATGCCCCCATGTAGGGGCCTCGAGCTGCATCAGATGCAAAGCTGCTGGGCCTCAGAGCTGCAGGTTCCAGAGCTCGGCCCATGTCACGCTCGTGTGTTTGGTACAATTACAAAACCCTAGCAAGGAGTTCTTTTCCTAGTACTTGTACACTGTACAAGTACTGTACATACTTTGCAAAGTATGACTAACATTTCCAGAGTAACAAACAGGCGTGTCCTTATGAGTTACAAGAGAGACCACGTGCCTTGAGCCAGTGCAGTGTCACTGGTGCGGTGTGGACTGGGGTGAGTTTCAGTATGTCCTCAAAACACGTAATGTATTCCGACGACATCCGGGGATTATACAGGTAAATTTACTGCTTGGTTCAGCTCACGTGGTTTTCTACCTCCTCCTCTGGTGTGGTGGTTGATGCTGTCTTCACTCTGGAGGTGGGTCGCACGGACGGTGACAGGTATGTGCCGGTAACCTGTTCCCTGGGATTCCAGTCCCAGGCTATGCTGTTCCCGTGGACCACCTTTCATGTACATTTCCCAGCCGACAAACATTTGCATTGTTTCAAGGTTTGGGTAACTGTGAAATAAAGCTGCCATAAATATGAATATGCGGGTTTTTCTGTGAAGAGAAATTTGTATTTCACTTGGGTAAATATTTCATAGTGGGTTGCTTGATCATATGGTAAGAGTAAATTAAATGTGTGTGAAATTTTCAGACTGACCTCCAAAGAGCTCATACGATTTTGTATTCTTAATAACTATACTTGGGGGCTTTGCTTGTTCAATATCCTTCTAACTGGCTCACATTTTAGGATTTTGGGAGAAAATGAATTAATTTTGAAAATAAATTTAATGCGAAAAATTAACCAGAAAAAAAAACCAAAATCAACAAAAGGAAATTGGAACCGGAAAAAAAAAAACCTCAATCCTTTTTCCCCCAAACCCCTCCCCCCCCTTCAAACCCTCATCCCCTCAATATTTATAAAGCTTTCTTTTCATTCTGTTCTCTTCTTTTTTCTTTTTGCTTCCTTCCTTTGGGGAAGGGCATTTTAAAATTTTTGGTTTTGGGTCATTGTATTAAACGTATTCTGGTATCTCCTTCTGGCTTTAACTTGTAATTTCACAACGGCAAGTGAGGTTGAACATGTGTTTCTCTCAGTAGTGGTCATTTATATTTTCTTTGGAAAAGTACCTGGTTATTTTGTTGTTGCTGTAGTAAAATGTACACACACTCTTTTCAGATGTACAGGTAACTTAACTGCACTAGCTGCACTCACACCATGGTGCAGCCGTCATCACCATGACCTCCACGCTTCTTTAATCTCCCAGAGGGAAGCCTGTAGAGCTAAAAGCTCCTTTCTATCTCTCCTGGCCCCAGAGGAGAATCACCATTCTATTTCTCTTGCCTATGAGTTTTCCTACTCCAGGTACCTTCTATGAGTGGGATCATACAGCATCCGTCCTTCTGTGACTGGCTTATTGCAGTGAGGATAAAGTATTCAAGGTCCACCCATGTTGAGTACGTGTTCAATAACAGTGCATTGTGTTCATGTATCACACTCTGTTCACCCTTGCATCTGTGCATAGACACGGAGGGTGTGCCACCTTGGCTACACTGAATAATGCTACTATGACAAGAGATGGAGATGAACCCACTCATTTCTTGGCTCTCTGGGGTCCATGGTGAGAAGTGAACTTGCTGGATTACACATCATTCTATTTTTAAATTTTTGAGAAACTATCGTCCTGTTTTCTTCAGCAGTTCATCGTTTTACATCCTGAGGAACAATGCCAAGAGTTCCACTTCTGCATCCTCTTTGATGTTTGATATTTCCCATTTTAAAAAATAGTAATTGTTGCAGTGGGCGTGAAGTGGTGTCACATACTGTTTCTTACTGCATTTGTTTAAAATGTACTGCAGGATGCTTTGCATTTCTCTAATAATTAGTAGTGTTAAGCATTTTGTCATGTGCCTAATATCTTTGGAGAAGAGTCTGTCCAAGTACTTTACCCATTTATAAATGCAGATGCTTATTTCTTTGCTGTTGAGTGAAGCATTTCTACTCATGTTATTACTACATACATTATGCACATTATTATCTATTTGTTTGCTCAGAGTTATTTTGTTCTGAGAGTCCTTGATGTGGTACCATACAGGCCATTCACCTGCTTCCAGATATTTTCTCCCAGTGGGTAGCTGTTGTCTTCACCCTCTTCACAGTCTTCCTCAGGGAATCAGGCCCCTGTTCCCCACATATGTGTGACACACGAGGTGTTCACTCATCTGCCAGGATGCAGAAGAGCAAAAATGATGAAAAGGAGCAAGGATTGGGACACACGGGGGTGCAGAAGATTGCAGGCAGCTGAAGGTAGAATAGGGCACCCACAAACCCAGGGCTTGGCCACTGGCCACTGTCAATGTTGTCTTCTGAGTGAGAAGAGCTTTGCATACATAACTAAGCAAATTTCCTTGACCAGCAGGGTTCATCCTGGATGATCAAGTTGACCCCTGGATCCAATCATAATGTCCATGTACTAGCGAAGCAGAGGGAGAGCAGGCGCACAGGAAGGGGTGAGACCACCTGACCACGGATGCTGAGACCGGGGTGACAGGGCCAGGAATCAGGGGACACAGCAGCCTCAACAAGCTGAGGGAAGCCGGGGGTGGACCTGTGACGTGGAGTCCGGGGGGAGGCTGCCCACAGGACCCTTAGATCTGACCCAGGGAAACTGACTTCAGAAATAGAAGACAGTAACTTTCTTTCTCTCAGATATTAACTGTGGAGCAATTCATTTCAGTGTCTGCCAGAGACTCTTGGGAGGAGGAATCCGTTCAGCAGCTCTATGAAATTACAAACAGGCAGTTAAGAAAATGAAAGGCAAACAAAAATGCCCTTCTTCCTTCATATCTATTTCTGTGCTCCTATTTCAAAGAGTTGCTTACATTTCCTCACCCCACCTCTCTTCCACTGTTTTCCTCCAGTTAGGGCTCCACAACTTTTCCCATCCATCTCCTGAAACTGCTGCTGTCAATGTACTACGCCAAATCCCCAAGCCTGCTCAAAGTGAACGAAGCATCCAATGTAAGACAAAGCTGTAAAAGCCACTGGAGGACACACACAGGAACGGCTCCATGACACTGGCCTGGGTAGTGGTAGTTTTTCGGAAATGACCACAAAAGCCAGGCAACAAAAATTAAAATAGACAAAAGGGTTTGCATCAAAATAAAATAAAACAAAAGAAGGGAAGCAATGAATCAGATGCAAAGGTAAATAATAGAAATGGATAAAAAGTTTATAAAACATATATTAGATGAGGAGTTAATATCCAAACTTTACAAAGAACATAATAAAAATTCATAAGGAGACAACAAATATCCCAAGTGAAAATGACCTGAGGGAACGCTTCTCTCTCTTTTTCTTTTTTTCCCCGGTACCGGGAATCGAACTCATGACCTTGCACTTGCCAGGCAGGCGCTGTGCTGCTGAGCTAAATCCCCAGCTCCCTCTGAGATGCTTCTCAAAAGAAGCCATATGTGGACAATGGGTATGAAAGATGCTCAACCTCAAAATTCAGCGGTATTTTGGTTTGTAAACTCAATTCTCTCCATGGTTCTGGTTGCAAACCAAACTGTACAAGAACCAAATCGAAGTTCCCCATAAGGTCAATGCTGAACCTAACCACTGAATTTGATTTGGTTTTCATCCAATTTAATTTGTGATCAGAATCGTGGAATCAAGTTTGTGAACTGAGGTACTACTTTCCATCAGGAAAATGCAAATGAAAAACAAAATGAGATATCACCTCACCCCAGTTAGCACAGCTATGAATCAAAGGGGAAAAACAAGGTTGGCAAAAATAGGGAGAAAAATGAACCCTTGTACCTCTGTCTTAGTTACTTTTCTCTTGTCACTGAGACAAAATACCTGACACCCAAAGTTAAGGAAGGAAAGGTGCATTTGGTTCACAGTTTGTAGAGGTTTCAGTCCATAATCAGGTGGCTCTAGTAACAGTGTCTGTCTTTCTGCCCCTTTTATACTGTATCTAGGCTGCTGGGATTAGGGCAATGCCAAGCCAATTAGTGAATGGATCACACACCCTTAATCTCAGCATCACACACTCTAGACTCAACCTCCTCTGAGAATCTGCCCCGCTTAACTGCATGAGGATTTGGGGACAACCAGACCCAAACCACAACAACCTCTTTGTGAGAATGTAAATCAGTTCAGCAATTGTGAAAAGCAGTAAGGAGACAGCTCCAAAACTAAAAATAAAACTAGCATATGAGCCACCACTTCCATTTCTGGATATATTCATGGTCAGGAAAATGAAATCAGTGTCTAAGAGACAAACCAGCATTCCTATATCCACTGTAGCATTACCAACAACAGGCAAAGTGCAAAATGAGCTAAATGTCACCATGCATGGGTGACTGGATCAGAAACAGTGACACAGCATGTGCACACACACACACACACACACACTGCACATACACAAAGTGGAATATTGCATATTTAGAAAAGAAGGAAACCCTTCCATACTCAACTACAAGGATGAAATCAGAGGATGTTATACCATGTGAAATAAGTCAGGCATAGAACAATAAATATCACATTATGTCCTTTTATGTTAAATGTGAAAAATCAAACTCACAAAAGCAAGAGAAGGGTGGAGGCAGAGGGTTGGAGGTGGAAGCAAGAGTGAGAGGCTGATCACAGGGTATAAGGAAGGAATCAGTTCTGGAGATGTACATAGTGGCGATTATAGTTAGTATGATGTACTGCATATTTCAGAATTGCTAATAGTGTAAATTTCCAAAAGCTCTCATCCCAAAGCAACAAAAATCAAATACTTCTGGATCTGAAACAATCTTTTGATTAACACAAGATGTGTTAGTTCCAAGTGCAGAGATGTTGGTGAGTATGTGTGGTCATTCAAATGGTAGCTTTGTTTAGCATGGAACGGTGTGCATATATTTCAAAATATTACATACACAGTTTCTGTTTGTTCATAAGATGACATTAATCATGATAATTATAAACTACAGAGGTGAATATCCACAAAAATTGCACTATATACTAAAGATGTCTAAACTTTTGTCAATTATACCTCAAAAAGCCAGAAATATTTCCTATAAATATCTAAGGGCAACACGAAAATTATTACAATTAATAAACAAAGAGAAACTGCTGACGCAAAGGTCACAGATGATAAGTGTGTTTCCTCTTCTGCATGTGTGATCACCTCTTCTTGCCTCCTCTGTGGACTCCTTCACCCCCAGCCTGTACCCTCTTCTCTCCCCACTTCTGTGTCCCGTTCTCTGCCTGGATCCCCCTGTGGGTGTCAAAAGGCTTCTCAAAGTTACTATCCTTCCTTAAAACCCTCTTTGAAGCAGATTGCCTTCCTTCCAGTTGCTCAGTGAAGCATTCTGGCACTGTCCGTGGTATCCTCTTTTCCTTAGTGACCACATTCTTTAGAAGCTGTTAGGGAGAGAAGTATCATGGTGGGATGGAGGCAGGAACACTCAGGAGATGCTTGGAATTGGCTAACCAAGGTCTGCAGGTATTCAGAGCAGACACAAAGAAAATCCAACAAGAGACAACCTGAAGAAGCCCATGAGGTCCAGTAACAGGGATGAGTGGAGCAGGAAGCAGTCAATTCTCAATCCGGACACTGCTCACAGCTTGGGTCTAGTGAACACACCTTTTTGGAAAAAGTGCAAATCCCCTCGAAGGAAGAAACCAAATGCAGCAGTGGTTGCCTGGTCATGGACTGGTGCCCAGTCTAGAGTCCCCCAC